GCTGGGCGCTGGGAGAGTGCCGGGCAGGGCCGGCCGAGCGTTCCCTGGGGGAGCGTGTGCAGAGCTCTGCCCGCTTCCCTGACTCCGGCCTTCCCGGGCTGTGGAGGTACCTGCCTTCTGTGCTGCAGTTACTGCCTTTCCATGCTGCTGGTTTTCTGACGTGATTGGTAATTTTTAGTTTTCTACGCTTTGCAAAAGATCTCTCATAAATTAGCATTGGGACATTCTTATTTCTCACCTTTTCCCTGTTACCACTTTCTTAATTATGTTCATGCTCCTCTTCTAGCTTTTAGCTTTAGATTAGCTTTTAGCCTTAGATGTTAGCTTTTTACCAAGCTGCATGTACCTTTCGTTTTAAAATTAAAAGGTTGCTTGAAATCAGTTCTAGAAAAATAACTGGAGTGCCGTTTGTTCTTAGGCTGCCCTACGACGTACAGATGTCATTCTGGAAGTGGGCCCAGGAACTGGTAACCTGACGGTAAAGATGTTAGAGAAAGTTAAGAAAGTAAGTGTGAGTTTGCCACATACATACCTTCCCAAGCTCCAACCACACTGTGGCTTAGGCTGTGGCAAACCAAAGGATCCTCACATGCTTGATTCAAATAAGTAGAATTACTCTGTGAATGTTTTTCTTAACATTTGCATGATTTCGGTTTTTTTTTTTAGTTGTTTGTATGGTCTTATCAAACTATAATATTGCTGTTACCCATTTATGTGGTAAGGCTTGCATGTTTCTGGGGAAGGAGGAAGGTGCATAGACTAATAGGGAATTTTTAAGGATTATTTAAACCTGTAGCAATAGATACAGGGGGGGTTTACCATTAAAGTTTTAATCCCAGCAGGGAGAAGTTGTATAAAGTTGCAATGATATATTTTGTTTCCAGGTGATTGCTTGTGAAATTGACCCTAGACTCGTTGGTGAACTTCAGAAGAGAGTCCAGGGCACGTGAGTATCAAAAGTGGAAATAGCGAGATTTTAAAGCAGTGGAGCTGCGTTGGCAAAAGCTTTGGCAACATGCTTCTCTGAGGATAATCATGCCACATTTCACCCCAGGTGTCTGGCAAACAAACTAGAAATCAGGGTTGGAGATGTCTTGAAAACAGACTTGCCATTCTTTGATGCATGCGTGGCTAACTTGCCTTACCAGGTATGGCTAAACAACATGGCAAAACTTTTTTTCTTTTTAAATGACAGTTGCCCAGAAATTACACTAACACTATTACTCTTTCCTCAGATTTCTTCACCTTTTGTTTTCAAGTTGCTGCTTCATAGACCATTTTTCAGGTATGTGGAAGAACAGAGCTCTGTATTGCCTGGTAGAAAATAAAATAGTTTTAAAAATATTCCCAAATCAAATTTTTTTAGTTCCTAAAATACCAGTTTGATGGATCGGGGCCACACCCCAGATTTTCTATAACACAAAACCTGCCAATGCCTGGCAATTACTTTCTGGCAATGTATTGAGTATGAAGGGAAATCTTAGTCTTGGCGTCAGTGTCAACTGACAAAAACTGGAGTTGGACCTCTTGACACTAGTAATATAACTAATTGTTACTCCAGGGATAAGTAGGGCATTGTAGCACTTAGAATCATAGAATCATAGAATGGGTTGGGTTGGAAAGGACCTTAAGATCATCTAGTTCCAACCCCCCTGCCATGGTCATGGGCACCACACACTAACCCGTGTCACCCAAGGCTCTGTCCAGCCTGGCCTTGAACACCGCCAAGGTTGGAGCATTCACAGCTTCCTTGGGCAACCTATTCCAGTGCCTCACCACCCTCACTGTGAAGAACTTCTGCCTTAGATCTAGCCTGAACTTCCCCTGTTTAAGTTTAAACCCATTCCCCTTTGTCCTGTCACTGCAGTCCCTAATGAAGAGTCCCTCCCCAGCATCCTTGTAGGCCCCCTTCGGATACTGGAAGGCTGCTATGAGGTCTCCACGCAGCCTTCTCTTCTGCAGGCTGAACAGCCCCAACTTTCTCAGCCTGTCTTCATATGGGAGGTTCTCCATTCCTCTTATCATCCTTGTGGCCCTTCTCTGGACTTGCTCCAGCAGCTCCATGTCCTTTTTATGTTGAGGACACCAGAACTGGACACAATACTCTGAAGTGAGGTCTCACGAGAGCAGAGTAGAGGTGCAGGATCACCTCCTCCGACCTCCTGCTGCTTTTGATACAGCCCAGGATACGGTTGGTTTCTGGGCTGCGAGTGCACACTGAAGCCTGCTCATGTCGAGTTTCTCATCAACCACCACCCCCAAGTCCTTCTCTGCAGGGCTGCTCTGAATCTCTTCTCTGCCTGTAGCTGTGCCTGGGGTTGTGCTGACCCAGGTGCAGGACCTTGCACTTGGCTTGGTTGAACTTCTTGAGGTTGGCATTGGCCACCTCTCAAGCCTGTCTGGGACCCTCTGGATCCCATCCCTTCCCTCCAGTGTTATCAACCAAGCCACACAGCTTGGTGTCGTCAGCAAACTAAAACTTCAGATGTCTTCTTTCCCGAGAAAGGAAGAATGGAAAGGGTAGGATTTAAGCTAAGATACTTCTGTTGCCTGGTTTGAAAATGTAACTGCCCAGGTACTTCTATGCATTGTTCAGTGCACATCAGTTCTTGAATTCTCTCCCTGAAGTGCTGACTTTAGTGATATACTGGTCAGGTTTTGGAGCTTGGAGAGTTTTGACTTGAAGGACTCATAGTGAATTATTCAAAATGATTGCTTACAGTCAGACACAAAACTCTTGAGACTAACCTCCTCTTTGATCCTGATCCACTTAGCAGTATACAGCATCAAATTCTGTTCTGTCTTTAAGGAGATGTAGATGTCTTTAAAAGGTTTTGTGGGGTTTTTTGGTGGGTTTGTTTTTAACACGCTCTGCGCTAATTAAGGCAGAGTTTGTTTATGGCAAACTTGTGTTGTTTCTAAGCACTGAGGCAAATACTGTGCTTTGCAAGTGTGTTAGTTGGGTTTTGATGTAGAAGTTGGTTCCTTATAATTCGTTTTCTCATTTCTGTTTTTCTCAGGTGTGCAATACTTATGTTCCAAAGGGAATTTGCACTTCGTTTGGTTGCCAAACCAGGAACTAAACTATACTGCAGACTCTCTATTAATACTCAGTTACTAGCTCGAGTGGACCATCTGATGAAGGTGCGTCATTCTGCATTAGCTAACAAACAGAGCTATCAAAGACAGAAGAATGTTTCCGGGAATGTGTGGATTTGCTGCTTATTCATACAGCTGCCTGACTTCTCCTAACTAACAGGTTGGAAAGAACAATTTCAGGCCTCCTCCCAAAGTGGAATCCAGTGTTGTCAGAATAGAGCCAAAGAACCCACCACCACCTGTCAACTTCCAGGTGAGCATCTACAACAACATAACATGCTGGTGGTAAGACTTAATTTCACTTTTCACTTACTACTCAGTTCCATGCGCTGCTTTTACTGTTCGGTATCAGCTATTCACTGACATTTACATAATTCCAAAATACTTACCTCTCTGTTGATCAGGCTTGCGTTAGGACGTTACCTGAATGCGCCACCATCAATTCGGGTCCAGCTTTGTTCACACTATTTCTGACAAGACTCAGGAGCCGTCTCCATGTCAGTTGGAGAGTTGCTAGTAATAATGTCCCTTTCATGGTGGTTTGTATCTTCCAGAGACCCTCCAGGCTGATGACTTTGTTATGATCAGAGGAGTATCTATGAGAAGGCCAATGTTCAGATGAGTGTGTACAGGATAGTGTTCTTAAAACTGCGCTGAATGCTCCATCCCTGGCAGTGTTCAAGACCAGGTTGGACAGGGCATGAGCAACCTGGTCTCGTGTCCCTAGGTGTCACTGCCCGTTGCAGGGAGGTTGGAACTATGTGCTCTTAAGGTCCTTTCCAACCCAAACCATTCTGTGGTTCTGTGAAAATTCTTTGATCTTCAGGACCATTTCAGCCTTCCCCAATGTTAGCCAGATTTTCTTCAATCATCTTTCTTCACAGCGCATGAGAACAATGTCAAGGTTTTCAAGAACAATTCAGAGGTTTTTGTGGTTGAAGAATTTTCTCCTGCATTTGTATTGCTTTGTCCAAATCAGGTTTTGTATTGTTTAGAGAATTTTCCTGAATCTTTTTTTGCGTTCAATATTCTTGTTCTGAAGTTGTCAGTAGTGACTTTACTTGTTCGTAGTAGCTGTATGTTCCTCTCTGTAAATTCTGACCTTTTTAATTTCAGGAGTGGGATGGTATGGTAAGAATAGCCTTTGTTAGGAAAAACAAGACACTCTCTGCAGCATTTAAGTAAGTAAATTCTATTAAATCTTTTCGGAGTTTGAAAGCCCATTCAGTTAACCATTTCTGTGGTGCAAATGCATAGCAGTGTTATATGCACACCAGCACAGTCTGGGATAAACCATGATGGAGGATTCATGCTGGGGTCACAAGATTTTTCTTTTAGAAAAGAACAGCTCTGTGTAAATGTTACAGTTTTTTATAGTAAAGGTTAACAATGAATCGAGTCAAGAAACCTAGTTAAAGTTCAGTTTCTAGTCTAAACTTGCATTTCTTTTAGGTCAAGTGCTGTAGAGCAGTTACTGGATCATAATTACCGAATTCATTGTTCCTTACATAATACAGTAAGTTCCTTTCTAATGTATTAAATTCTATTGTGTATTGTGTCCTACATACTGACTTTTATAACAGTAAAAAATTAACATTGAAAAGCTGCTTTAACATGGTGAAGTTTTTCTGAGAGAGTTTGAGGGAGGAGGAGCTTGCCTCTTAAAGAAAAATCTAAAAGGGTCACTAAATCACTGTGAAAGAGCTAAAAGCTGAGTACGTTACTAATCAAGTAAGAATCCAATGAGAAAACTTTCTGTGTATGCTTAGCAATACTGCTGTGATTCATTTACAGTGAACGAGCTGAGATATAAAAATTAAGATAAAAGAATAGAAGAATACAATAATCCAAACAAGAAAAAAAACCCTGATTTCTCTTCTTGAAACAAGAACCATTCTAAAAATGGGAAAAGACTAATTATTTAAATGAACCTTTTTCTGTGCTATGAATAAAAAATTAATTTATATCCTCTTTTTCATTGACAGGAAATACCTGAAAACTTCAAAATTGCAGAGAAAATACAGACAGTCCTAGAAAATACAGGTTACTCTGACAAACGAGCCCGTTCAATGGATATAGATGATTTTATTAGGTATTCTTTTTTCCTTTAAAATGCTTTCCTTTTAAGCTTCTTCAAATTCTATCTGTGCCTGTGTAGCACAGATTATTATTGGGTCAAAGAGGAGTTGGATTAATTCCATTTTCCTCTCGATACCAGACACCCCTTGCTTCCACTCTGGAAGGTGAACGCTTAAACCCTACATGTATTTTAGCTGCTGCTTACATTGTTGAGGATGTAGCTAAAGATCCCTGTTTCAGATGTTTGTGTACTAGACCCTTTAGTCACCTCTAAAAATGGCTTTAATAATGGAATTGATTATTGTAATATCCATGGAGACTTCTACAGCTCTTCTCTGTCTTGAGGATTAGGCCATAGTCTGTAGCATAATTTGGAAATCTGTGTAATTAACTGCTGTATTCTGCTCTTACGTCTGGTCAGTTGAGTGGCAACGTGAATCCTCTTCTAATTTATGATAAAATTCCTAGCTTTTCCAGTGTGACAATTAATGCAGCTACCACTCTTTAAAGAAACATAGTAACTTACTAGGATGCAATATAACTGTACTGAAAATATGCCTACATCTCAAAAATGGCAAATATGCTAACAACATAGAATCACAGAATGGTTTGGGTTGGAAAGGACCTTAAGATCATCTAGTTCCAAGCCCTCTGCCATGAGCAGGGACACCACACACTAAACTATGTCACCCAAGGCTCTGTCCAACCTGGCCTTGAACACCTAGTTTAATATTTTGTAATAATTCTGTGCAGTTGAACAGCAGTGGCTGCTTTCATGCTATTTTTATATATTCTTCACCAGCCAACCCCTCTTAGAAATTCCTTAAGCTGAAATACAAATTAGTAGAAATTGTAACATGAATCTTTCACTCTTTCAGCTTGCTACATGGCTTCAATTCAGAAGGCATCCATTTCTCATAGATTCTCCTAGAGGAATGAAAGATCTTCGTATTTTGTCGCTGCAGACTTACCTGTGCCAGAGTGACTGCAGTGTACGTGCACATTCTGGTTCTTAAAATGTTACATGCAGTTTCATCACAGAGAGTAGGGAAGAAGCTGCTGCTCTCTATTTTAAGAGAAAAATTCTTCACAACTGAAGTGAGGTGCTGGAATCCCACATGACAGTGTATTTTTAAAAATACCAGATAACATGGATGGATGCTGCTGTGATTGAAATCTGTGTTCTCTGATCATGGACTTCGCCTCAATAAATTCTTGCACAGTACTCAACAGTACAACCCTAAGTCTGGTCTGGGCAACAAAACCAGGTGTAGTCATTCCTTTTGTTTGGGGGGGGGTTTGTTGGTTTTTTTTTTAAATCTTTTTTTAGAAGTATGTTTAAACATTTTCTTTTAATTTGAAATGCCGGCCTCTTCCACATGTTCTCTGCTAGCTGCCCCCATTCCAAGTCTGTTAGCAGTCTGCTTCTCCTGGAGAAATCCCAGTAACACTTTCTCAGGAAGAACAGCATTTACCTTGCCAGCTCAGCGTCATTTACAGAAACATTACGAAGGGACCTGAAGGTACCAGTGTCATCTCCTTACGCCACCTATTGCTGTCAAACCGCTGCAGGAACTAGTGGAGAGCTACAAAGGGGCTTTCTCATTTTCTCAAAGTCTCATAAGCATAGGCAGAAGGGTTATTTTTGTCAACTGTAAATTCAAGAAGCTAGAAGAAAAATACTTCACCCATAAAGGGAGGGAAAGGTTTTAGCATAGATCAAAGCTTTCGATGAGTCTTAAGAGGACTGCATGCCTGTGTCCTGACAGAAAGACTTACTGAAGTGCCTTAATATCATTCAGATAATTATGTATTTATTAAGGACAAGGCAATTTTCCCAAGGACTTTTGTGTTAACTGTAGCAGCTGTCGGAAGAAAAATCCACTTTGGTCTGTCTTACAGGAAGACAGTAACTTTTAACTCTGCAGCATCAGGCAGGGGTGAAGGCATGGCTCAGCATATTAGCTACCGTAAGTAATTAGTTCGTGTGTTGCATACCTCTTTCAAGATGACCACAGCAAGTGGAGAAGAGGCAAATTAGCAAAAACTCTTCTAAGATGTAACTTCATTTTATACACATCCAATGTCAATTCTTTCTTACAAGTCATTGGTTCAGAAGCATGTACAGAAACAGGCACTTGAATTTGCAGGTATCCCAGGAGGTAGTCTTGAAAAACCAAACTGCTCATTTGTTTTTTAATTTAACGATTCTAGTGCTGGTTCACTGCATATGGAACCAATGCATGGGTGAGGTAAGAAGCAACAGCAATATGCTCAGACTAATACAGAAGGAGCAAGTGCTGGAGATCTGTCACTTAGTAAGAAGCTGTTGAAATATACCTATGTCTGTCCTTCCTGTCTGCTTTGGTACCTGCTGTAAACCACAGCCTGGTTGTGGCTCTGGGCTTGCATCAGGAACAGTAGGGAATCTGCTATTTCTGATATAGGGTGTCTTGATCTTTAGAGGCGTTTTAGAAAGTAAACTGCTGGAGGAAGTCTTCAAAGAAGCCCCCTGGTATTGCACGATAACCTGTACTGTACTGTCACCTGCTAACAAAACCTGCTGCCTTCTATTTCACTGTTTTTTTCTTGTAACTGTGGTGGAGGACATTCTTAAAACTAATGCTCAGAAAGACACATGATGTTTCTTTTAAGGCCTGCTGCAAAACTTTTAGGATGGTGTTCTGGGCAACTTCTTCATGTTTGACAAATCTGTATGAAGAGCTGGCTCTTGAAGTAAATGCTCATTTTGAAATTAGAGGTGTTTTGTTCAAAAGCGTAACTCCAATGCGGTCACAAAGTGGAACCCTTCCCAGAGCACAACAGGATTTCCATAGAAGTAAACTCTCACATGTAATTCATTTAATAGCTTAATTTTATTAAACACATTATGTAAAATCTACATTGTTTCAGTTTTCATGTTTACACACAGATAGATTTTTTTTTAATTTTTTTTTTATTTTTTTTAACCATGATGCGACAAGAGCCTCCCATAGCCTAGCATTCTATGGGAGATAGAAACATTAAACACTACAAGAATTCCTGGCTTTTAAACAATCTTTTCAATTGCCTTCCTTTTATCCCCTGCCAGGACTGGCACAAACAAACAGGCTTATATTCCAAAAGTATTTTTTAAACAATTCCAAGGGAAAGTCTGCTAATACAAACTCCTGGAAACTGGGAGAACTCCTAGAGAGGTCTACAAGTCTTCATTTGACAAGAAGTTCTTACATGAAAAGTCAACCTTTTTTGGATACTGACTTGCAAAAATAACTCAAGTGCCACCACCTAAGAAGTGCTGATAGACATGGCGCCATTGGTAAGAATTCAGGTACTTGTGTGATTTCTATTAGCGCCAGGTTAAGAGGTATTGTGCAAAATCCCCAAATGATGCAAGTTCAACCCACTTTTCAGCTGCTGGCACTGTACAAAGGGAAAAATAGGTATTAGCTACATTTTTCTTAAAAGCAACAGAGCTACTCAAACTACCTGCAAACTACGGTTAATGAACATGTAAGTTTGTCATGCATTAAAAGCCAAATTTTAACAGTATGTGAAAGGCCAATATGTATGCATTTAGCTGGATCCCTGAACTTTTGACAGTTATCCATATGCAGAGGTCAGATCGTACCTTTACTCTGACAGCATTACCACATACCATACCACATACTGTATATCTGCATTATCCAAAGATACAACTCTCCTCAGTACTTAAAACATTACCCTTTATTATACATCAACTAATTTTTATTTTTGTGGTTTTTTGATCAGTTTTTTGTTGGGTTTTTTTTATTTTTAATTACAGATTAAAACATTAGAATTATATCACCATTATGGTACTCAAATAAATCTAAAATTCCATATTTTTACAAGGAGGATGGAATGTCCAGCTGTTTGTACACTTAACAGCTCTTGCAGTTCCTGTTCAAATGATATGGCACATCCTGTGAAATGAAACTACCCACCAAAATAAAAAAAGGTCTCAAAACACATTAAAAATGCCACACACGGGAAGTCATTCATATTGACAAATAAGGAATGTTACTCATTAAGGCTGTGCTTCAGGAAGATGATGTTGAGGGTTAAGTAGCCTTCATCAAGGCACAGAATGGGAAGAAGTAAAGCACAGCTGTCTGTAAAGGAGTAGTTTATGTACAACCACTAGTGAGGTGTGCATGCACGCAAACACAATTTAAAACTGCACAGCTGGTCTTTGTAACAAAACTGAACATAGTCAAAAGGAAACACTGCGGCTTTTTAATGGCCACAGCTCTACTTCATTGTTAAAAAATGGCAAATATTCCCAAACCTAAAACTCACGACTTGAGTAAATAAAATATCGTAAAACAATATCGTAAAACAATATCGTAAAACAAAGTGCTTCACAGATCTGAACCCTGCATGGTTGTGCTGTCTGGTCTAGAAGCATTTTGTAGACATCATAGGAGCATTTCACACAAAACTTAAAAATGTCATTCAGGTGAATAAGAAACAGGACATTTTCACAGACATTTCTAATGTTTTTACACTTTCAAGTAGTTGAGTTCTTACAGCCACTGGGTTTCATAACAAATGTGTGCTACAGCAGTACGGGTTCATGGACTCCTTTAGCAGCAAAGGCCTGATTCAAAGGGCACGTGGTTTTTTCAGGCTGATCTGTTTACTGGCCTGTTCCTCCTCTTGCAGAGCTGCCCGGAAAGATTTCACTTTGTCTTTAATGAAAAAGAGAGAATAAATACTGATGTGCCTGTGCTCAACACACATCTCAAAATTAAGTCCTGATGCTGCACATCCCAGCCCCAGTGCACAACAAAGAACATTCCTCCACAAAAATAGCTGACACTAAGAAAGGATCGCAACAAGCTTAAATTCAATACTCACCATACAAACAAGCTGCAGAGCAACTTAGCCCCTTCTTAGATGCTACCCCTGTCTCTAGGCAAGATAGCTCTGGAAACTGCGTAATCGCATTCCCAGCATGTAACCTGTTCACACATAAATTCTGCTTCTAACTCAGAGTACAAGCAGATGCACACCACATAAATCCTTTTCCTTCTCAGCAGCTTCCAAACCATCCTTAGAGGCATTCAAAATTGTAATTAGTGTACAATCAGTCATTTCTGTACATTCTAAAACCCGGCAGGCAGGGTAAATTCTACTCCCCCCTGTTCTCCTATGAACGTGAAAAGCATCTGTGATCAAATTTTGGAAGTCATTCACCGTAAATAGGGAAATGCATCTTTCATTAGTTTCATCAGAACTGTAACAACAATGGGAAAAACCTAAGAAAGTAAGCGTGGCACCCTTTCATGCTTCTATTCCTGAGTAAAAAATAAGGTTTTATCTTATAAGGAGTTTCCTAACATAGATCAAAACCACCCCAACCTGACCTCTTAGCCCCAGGCCCCACCGTTGAACTTCTACCAGTACGTCCTGGCTTCTGGAGACCAAACACTTACAGAAACTAAAATGAAAGATCCATCTCCATGAGGTGTACCAAGCTGACAAACTGATTTTAGAAGACAAGTGAAAGAGTCAATTTTGGGCTCTAAGAATTATCTGCAGTTTGTTTTCACCAAAGAGAGGCTGACAAAATGCAGACAGAAAGGCTGCTGAAGAAAAGGGAAGCTAACCACCAAGCTACCGGGACCTCGATGCTGTTCTTAAGCACGGTCTTAAAAATGAGAGCAGTGTCTCCTCTACACTACAGAATGCAACAGAGCAGGAACTACGAGTTCCTACTACTTTGTCCTCATTGCATCACTTTCTTTTTCATACAGTCCATTTGAACTTTCTTTTTCTTTCCTTTATTGTTTTGGGGCAAAGGGGAAAAAAAGGGTTGAGTTTATACTTCCTGGAGGTAAAGCACAGATTTTTCCTTAAAACTAGGACAAAGCACTGATGCAAACACATTCTTAGGCAGCAGAATAAATGCTCCTTTTACAAGACACAGCAGGCCAGCAGAAGGGGAAAAAAGACCCTAAAACATAACCAAACATTTTTATCCTCATTATTACTGCAAGTCTCCAAGGCATATGAAAATATATTGCTAATAATGCACACCAAAGTGATGAAAAGCAATCTACCTCTAAGTTCGGTCAGAACTTCAATTTTTTGATCTAGAATTACTTCAAGTTGGGTAGCATAAGAATCCACATCATAGTCTACTTCTTCTGTCATCTCAAGAAGAGCTCTTTCATCTTCCAGCCATCTAAGAGATTCCTAGGTAGAAGTAAAAACAAACAAAACAAAACAGCTAAATGCATAAGCAAAGTTACAGACAAGCTGCAAGACAAAGAGCTGTCCTTTCCTCAGGACAACCACGTTTTCACTGTATAGTCACCTTACTATAACAAATTTCAATCTTAAAATGAAACCTTATTCCTAATTAAGCAAAATTGAAACCTTACTGCTAATTCAGCAAAATCATACGTTTTCTACATTCTTTCTTAATTCCAGTGGTCATACCAGCAGCAGGTAAACCACAGCTACCCCAGTTCTCCAAATTCAGAACATAAGGTGGTTGTAAAGCTAAGAAACTCAGAAAACAGAACTTTACGTCACAGTTATGTCCCCTTAGGCAGGTATCTAAGTTTGAAGTCAGGCTTAAATTTTACATATGGGCTGATTGCCACTGATTATAATCAGTTTCTTTAGTACAGTTAAAGAGCCAAGATAATTCCCATCCATAATCATCCAGTTTTCAGAAGAGCTGTGTGAAAGAACTATTTTAAACTCAGTATTGAGTGAGCCAACTCCCCAGACAGGTAAAAGAACAGTGAAAGTTGGCTAAGGCAGCTCTTAAGACATCGTTGCACTCTGAATATTACCATAAAAAAGGGAAAAAATAAGTCTTGCAGCAAAGAAGAATTCAACCAGGAGCTTAAAGCTTTCAGAAACACTCAAAGCAGTGATCAGGAGAACTGATCCCATTTGAAATGCTGTGATTTAAAACAAAAAAGAAAAAAAAAAGAAGGCAACTGACAGTTTTAGGCATGCTGGGCCTAAAATACTAAAATCAAAGTCTTTTCCTCTGCTCAGTAGCCCAGGTAATACTGAAAGCATAGTCCAAACCCCGTGTATGTTTTTTGCCTTTCAGCACAGATGGAGCTCACACTGGGATAGGATTCATCTAATGTAAACTCATACACCCAAGACACAAAGGAAGGCCAACACCTCTACAGCACAATTCATTCCCCTGATCTATTTCAGACGTTTTTGTTAGGAAAGGATGTTTTGTATCAGCACGTTCCAGGAGGAAGCTGACAGGACACAACTTCTGCCTGGTACAGCTAGTAGATTCTGCTGCAACCCACCTCCCCCAGTGGCATAAACTAACAAGCCATGCTGCAAACGAAGGGAGCCGAGGCTCAGATTTATTTCCTCCCAGTGCCTGCTGGGAGGAGCAGTAATCTTCAGAGAACACACAGAGGTAGTAAGATCTTGCACGAATGCAGCTTGTCTCTCCAGAAGTCACAAGCACTGGGACACAGCTATGGTGTATGGCATATGAATTTCACACATCTGAATGTGTTAATTCAGGGCTAATGTTTCATAATAACTAAATCTCTACATCTGTTGCAAAATGCATTATAGAATCATAGAATCATAGAATAGTTAGGGTTGGAAAGGACCTTAAGATCATCTAGTTCCAACCCCCCCTGCCATCAGCAGGGACACCACACACTAAACTATGTCGCCCAAGGCTCTGTCCAGCCTGGCCTTGAACACCGCCAGGGTTGGAGCATTCACAACTTCCTTGGGCAGCCTATTCCAGTGCCTTTATTACTTAGCATCTTACTGTATTATGAACACACATCAACGTTCCACGAAGTTAGATACCTAAATTGAGGACATGTGTGCATTTCCTACAGGTTTAATGGTCTGCTGCTCTCTTGCAGTAGATTTGTCAAATGGACAGCCTGCCTAAAGACCCTAAGGTTATGAACAGAAGCAACTCACATTTTCTTCTGAGAACTAGTAACTCATACTTACAACTACACTTTATCTTGTGAATGCAAAAGGCTCCATGGCCCTGACCAGCATCACACTGCACTTTCTTCCAAAGTCCCTGACTAAAAGCAAGTGAAAACCTTTATGTATCTGTAAAAAGGAAGCAAACAGGCAGTAAGAAGTACACGTGTCTCTTCTGTATCTGAGTATCTCAGAGGGAGATGTCACAAAAGGATACTCGGATACAATACTTGGAGGGAGTACTGCAGTATCTTAGAGGGAGATGCCCAGACAGAAATGGTGCTGATCAAATCATTACTATCAGCTTCCAGCTCTGGCATAAGAATATTGGTGGTGAAACTGAAAATTTTAAGACCAATCTGAATTAATACCCGCTGACTAGAAAAAAAATACACAAATGCTGGGAAACAACTACAACAGAAAATATTGTGAATAATAAAAAACCAGCAACTGTTCTTACAATGAACACAGTCTTTCTGGGGATGTTTCACAGAACCATAGAATGGTTGGGTTGGAAAGGACCTTAAGACAGACGATCTAGTTCCAACCCCCCTGCCATGGTCATGTTTGTTGAGAAGAAAACTTTACTAGATTTCTGGAATGATATAAAAATATGCTTCTCTTTCATTATAGGGACAAAGTTTAGCGGTTATGGGATCTGTTGCTATTTGTTTGCTATACTGGGCTTGGCCTAATAAAACAATCTAGAAGTCTCTGACAGCAGTGGAATATCCAGATGATATCCTACATCTCCAAGAGTATGTGCACTTTCACTAACAAAACCTTAATTCCTGGATTAGGATAAAACAAAACAGAGGTCCATCTTTTACCTGGAAGACAGTCCTGTGGTCTTCTACTACTTGCTCTTCCATTTCCACCATTTGTGACACAGCTTCATGGAAAGTAAACAATTGTGGAGAAACTTCCTCTTCCTGAAATAGTTAAGCTTGTTAGTCTGGAGAGAACCGTATCTACAGGAAATACACTGAATGTGATCCATCTCATCACAGAACACAAAGAAATATGCAGAAGGCAGAAGCTGTCAAAAATAGAACTCAATACTTCCAACAAGAAAATCTCCAGAAATTAGTGGACAGCACAACATATGCAAAATTTTCCAAAAAAAGAGAACAGCAATTACATTCAATACAGTTCAGGAAAACAAAATTGAATCAATCCTTTGGGAAAAAGATGGTGTAAATGTAAACTGAGAAATCTAAAATGCACACAGTGATTAGAGGAATGCACAACATGAATTTACAAACTGGGGCAAATTGAACTTCTTTAGAAAAAAATAGGTAACTATCAAAGGGGAGAGCACTAGGTAGGCTGTAGTTCATGTTTTAGCGAGACAGTATAGTTCCTTATATGATGCATCTGAAATATTTTTTAAAACATATTGTAAAAGCTTAATTTAATTCTACATGAGCAATCAAAAAGTAAGATATGAAACGATATCTGGCTGGAAGGACTGTCCAGTGGGAAGCTCTAGGAATCACTAGCATGATCTTACAAAATAGAGCCCTGGAAGAAGAGCCAGTTACTAAAATGAGAAACACAGCAGATGCCCTGAAGAGGTGTCTGAGGAGGCAGATTATTACAAATAATAAGTTAGCATATTGATGATTTTAATTTCCTCTCTTTCATCAACATTTTCACAAATCAAGGTTTACTCTCTCTTGAACATTTCAGGAACCAGGACTAGAGCTGATTATCCGCAGTGAGGGGAAAATGCCCTCTAGAAGATGTCTCTCAGGTCCCCACTCCTGCAGCCCAGGGAGACGGTGGGAACATGACGTGGCTCCCTCCCAAACGGGACAGTGGGGTTTCATCCCATGAAAATCTGGATGTTGGGAGGAGGAATGACAGGTGGCCATGTTTCTAAACACAGAGAAAGGCAAATTGACTTAAAATGGGTGTTGCATGCAAGGTAAGTAATGCTCAAACCCACGAGAGTGTTAAATAAAACAGATCAGTGTCCCAGGATACTTCTAACTGCCTAAAAAAATGTGAAGCTGTACTGGAAAAAATGCACACTAAAGAATGCCAGAGCCTAGAGCAGGCCCTGCCTAGACATTAACAGCTCTAATCAGCAAGGAAAATAAAGTAAAACATTCTCCTCCCACCTTTCAAGAAACATTTTTGGTTTAGGGTTCTTTTTCCTACGGGAACGTACATAATACCGTAAAGTGAAAAGGTGAAGAAAATGCTGTATTTTCTTAATGATCTTGCTAACAGGCTATAAATACACATTACTCTGGATTTGTTCTGCCATGCATTTATCATCATCTCTTCCCATGTAATGCTGTAAACCACTCACATTTTGTTCACAAAGCAGTTTGAGATCATCCCTCTGAGGAGAGCTCCCCACACCCCACTGTGTCTCCAAGTCATCAATCTGATTGGGAGGATGGTGTATAGTGGGACGGTTATCTCCTGTGGCAGTAGGATCGACCGTCAGCTCCTTCACCCTATGAGCAGAAAATGTTTCATTCGTAAAGTAGCAACTTCCAACGCAAAAATGTCAAAAAATAAAACAAAAATAAAGCTCTATGGGTTTATACACAATTAATTCAATTAATAAGGATGATGATGATGTCAGCTTCACAAATTTAATGCACTTTAGTGACAAAAAGATCTTATTCCAACTCCTAAAACGCATGGGCCATTGAATTTCAAGTTCTTCATCTTCTAGCAAGAGGCATTTTCTCATTGAAGCCTTACTACTCATCAACAGGGCAAAAGAAGGCAAAAATCTCCAAAATTTCAAAATTAACGCCTTAACAATAAATAATATTTGAAATAAGAGTTTATTCAGCACCCTAAGGCTGACCATCTTTCTTTTTCTGCGCACACAAAATTGTGCTTTAAAGAAGACAGTCAATCACTGCCCCACTAGCTGTTATCCACCGCACAAAGCAAATTGATCCCCGCAAGCAAATCCACCACAAATTCTGAAGAATATAATAACATCCAACCAGGTATCTCAGAATGAATAGATCCTTCAATTAAAACATTTTCAAAGGTGAAAATATCTGATTAAAATTAGGGTCTTGCAGCATGAAAATAGTTTGAATGGCTTATAATTATATCAAAAAAAGCCCATTTAAGAGTAAGTTTATGAAACAGACACATCAAGTATGCAAGTGTGGCAAGTTCTTTTCATTTCTTTAAAGGAAAAATACCGTATTTTTTTTCAACTACCACTTACATGCTACAATGGAAATGGGTTTTGCTCAGAGTGATGAAAACTTTTACAAATATGTATGCATTAAAATTGTTTTCTTTTTCAATTAGAGGTATTCAAATTACCCTAAACACAGACTTATCATATTGGGTCCACTAAATGTATAAAGGTGACATCATCTTTTTTTTTTTTTTTTTAAGTATGAAGGAAGCTAGCAAGAGTGTGGATGTTTAAGGAGGATGAGCAAAATACTGGGAAGATGATTGCAGATCATGCAGAACCATTACCTGCCAAACAAAATAAAAACAAAGTATGTGTGGCTCAAGGCAAGGGGACTAAATGAAAGGTTGGTCTGTAAAATTACATAGCCAAAAAGAAAACTTTAAGAATAAATATTCCATGTATAGAATGAAGTAGACCTGGTGACTGAAGGAGAAAAGTCGTCATACTCATAGGAAGGAGAGAGATCAGAGCGACTGCCACTACCCTGTGAGAAGGGAATGTCCGAAGGACTAATTCCAAATTCCTTTACTCTGCAGCAGCAAAATACAGCAGCAAATTAAAAGAAAATGTTCTCATAAACACAGTTAAAATGACAACTCTTTGTTTAGCATTCTCCTTTAATATTTTAACTACAAAATTATTTTTATATCAAAACACAGTGCGCCAACATATTTAAACCTTCTGCAAACAGCTTACAGATCACTAACAAAACCAATGCTGCTAATTCATGGGGGACTATAACAGCAGTGTTCTCAGAAGTGTAATTCCAGATTTCAGTTCCTGCAGTTAATATAATTTGTTCTACATTCAATATTCCATTACATGTCTCTTTTTAAAATATCAAAACTCTCCAGCTACAAAACTTTGAATTCTATTCTGTCCCATCTTACACGGCACACACATTGGTGTCCACCACCTAAAAACTAACTGTGCTATGAAAATAGCACATTGAATATTGCCAGAAAAATCCTAAAATCCTACACAATACACATGAAATAACTTTACAGTAATAAGCATTTACTCCATAACAACAGACAAATTCAACACCAAGGAATCAAGCACCAGGTTACAACACAACTATAGTATACTAGATATAGATGCTTAATTAGTTTTGCAGTGCCTTTTTCTAGAGACACTTCAGCAACATGTATTCTGTAAGGAGTAAAAGATCCATTGAGTCTTTATGAATGTGCGAGGTCCTTCATTATGTTACTGGAAGCAGAGGAGTGCTTCCTCTCTTACTGTAAGAGAGGAAGACGCCTCCTCACCAGGAAGGAAATCAGAGGCTGATCCAAGCCAGGCAGATATGCTACTAACTCCCCTGATGCAGACGCAGGGACTATTGGGTACCCAGAGGAGCAGGCGGCAACCTTTCCTAGCAGCCCTTTGTGCGCAGCTAGTGAATGGCTGGGATGCCCATCCAAGCAGGAGCAGAGCAGACGTGGTTCTGCTCTGCCTGTCAGTGGAGCAAGCACCACTAGATGGTAGCCTCTTCTAGCAAAATCAGGACTTCTGGTGGCCTAGAGGCATGTTTGCTGCCTTTGTTCTTCACAGCAAAGCTTGGGGTGAGGTCGCTGGGTAGCAGGGCTGACTGCAAGGACACACTGGACCTGATCACCCCATCTCCAAAAACACTAAATGAAGGAGAACTGCAGCAGGGAAGGCTCCTTTTGCACTCACTGAAGAGAGATAAACATTTTCGGAGAGTAGTACAGGTTTCAGAGGTGCTGCATTAGCCGCTGGGGTGTTAACCTCTCTACAAGCTACTGTAAACTCACTGTTGGATTAACTACTTAGGGATCTGAGATATTTGTCTGAATTTGGGAAGTATAAAATTTCAGGTGTGTATATACATACATATATATACACACACACAGAGAGAGAATTTGGCAACTGCATGCAATTCCACCAAGGGGATTTAAAATAAATTAATTAATTAATTAAACCACATTGCAGAAAGGGATTTCAGCTAACACTGCCAGGAATCACCATGAACACCGGCTACCCCTAATGCAAGAGATGGTGCTCAACACTAGTCATGGCATCTCCCACGTTTCTTGGAATCTACATTATCCATCACTGGATAATGGCTTAAATGCAGTTTCTACTGATTCTATTTTAATCATTGTAAAAAGTAACAATTTAAATTAAATGTGAGCCTGGATCAGCAATTTGTATGGTCAAATTATTCAAGTACCTAAAATAATTATATGTTACGGAACAACACTGTTCCAGATGTCAGTAACCAACTGCCAACATCACTATAAGCAATAACATTTTCCATACCTATTTGCGTATCTCAATGTATTCAGAGTGTTTTCACATGATGCCATTCCTGGAGAAATTGTAGCAATCTGGAGAAAACAAGCCACATGTTAATACAGCACTTTGTACAGATGAATGGGTAGATGAATTCAGGTTAACTTTATCTTTCTAATCTCCAGTTTCACTTGAGAACTTCTACAAAAAATGTGTACGATGTACAGCTGTCCTCATACAGTCACATCTCAAGGAGACAGATGTCAAATCAAAGCTTCAATTTAATTTTTTTAACCATACCTGCAACATTAAGAATTAATAGAAATTCAGTCAATTTCACCCATCTCACTGTCTTGGTAACATAATATGTTAATGCAAAACTCTAACTGAAAAAATAAGGACACCTCAAAAAGGGAAGTAGCAACTCAGGAGAAAATAAGCCAAATATACCCTGCAAACAATTACCAGGTTATTTTTTTAATACATCTTTGCAGGCTGTTTGCCATTCAAGCAGTCTGCATACTGATTTGAGAGATCTATTTTGACCACAATCCAAAACCGTACTTAATATTAAAGATAAACATGTGCAACTATTTTCCTAAGTAAAGATATATTTTCCCCTCAATTAAAAGTTATCTGTAAACAACACTTGACAGCTAACTTATCAGATGTATCTGGAGTCTACAGGTCTTCCTTTTCCAGCTAAATAAAATACCCTGAAGATCTCATCTTTCTATCACTTAGCAAAAATAGTAACTATGACCAGACACGAGTAGCGTCTTTATTTCTCTTAGTCTCTCTCAGTAGTCCAATTGTTTCATCTGTGCTCCTTTCAGGTGAGCCATAAAGGCACTCCCCAGGACAAACACTTCCATGATCCTACACACTAACTTTTTTTTTGTGGCAGCACAGCATCAGAAGACCGAAACTGATGGGGATTATATAATCCTGGTCTTCTCTTTCATCCTGGTGCTGATATGACTGTACAAAAGCACAGGTAGTCATCCTGAAAGGAATTTCTCCTAGTGGGGAGAAAGGAAGAATATGTGGTGGAAGGGGGTTAGGAAGTTATTACGGTTTAACCCAAGCTGGTACCTCAGCACCACGCAGCTGCTCACTCACTCTCTGCACCACCACCCCCTGCCCAGGCGGGATGGGAAGGAGAATTGAAAGAATGTAAACCCCACAGGCTGAGACAACAGTTTCTTAAGTGAAATAGAGTATAACTACTAAACTACAATATGCTAATAATAGCAATAATACAAGCAATAACAATACTAATAATAATAATAATAGGGAACAACAGAAAAAAAAGGAGAAATGATAATTCAGAAAAACACAAGTGATGCACAATACAATCACTCACCACCCACCAACACCCAGCCTGACCCGAGCAGAGATCTGGGCCTTACGGATAATTCCCCCAGTTTCTATACTGGGCATGACGTGCTGTGGTATGGAATAGCCCTTTGGCCAGTTTGGGTCAGGTCCTGTCTCTGCTTCCTCCCGGCTTCCTGTGCACCTCCTCACTGGCAGAGCAGGAGAGACTGAAAAGTCCTTGACCAGTGTAAGTGCTACTGAGCAACAACTAAAACATTGATGTGTTACCAGCATGGTTCTCAAACTAAAGCCAAAATGCAGCACTGCACCAGCTACTAGGAAGAAAATTAACTCTATGCCAGCCAAAACCACGACGGAAGTCTAAAAAGCCTGCTACCATAGAGAGTTAAGTTCAAACTTCCAATTCTGATCTACATCAGCTACTAATGAAAACAAGTGTAGCTTTTGAAAGTTCGTATGATTGCATATCTCTTTATAAAAAGTGTTCTAGCTGGTAATAAACAAAACCTAAAAGTTCCTAAAAGCCTTCTAAACTCATTTAGCGTGAAAGATGCATGCATCTCTTCCACTGGTTTAATATTCAGAGCACACTACACACAGCAACTGCCATAGCATCAGGGGACTACTCCAGCATTTTGAAGCATATACTGTAGGTGCTGTCAGGTACTTCATTCAGGGCACAAGAACCCATGCACAAGACTCAGGCTGTTAAACGCAAACATCCAGTACATCATACGCCCTCCTGGCCCAAGAAGCCCAGTCCAGGCAAGAAAGGAGGACTCCAACCTCTCTGTTGCTCGCTTCCTCATTTGTAATGCCAAACGATGATGGAAAAAGCTGCGCTATTTATGAACAGGAATATCTTTAAGACCTGAAATTACCTTTCTTCTTGAGTGTGTCTACATTGCTCATGACACATCCCAATGGAATCAATGGCCCTTTTGGGACACAAAGTCTATGGCTTCCTATTCCCACCCCAGAGGTTCGAGGTGTCCGGCACACCAAGCTATGGCTGCAACACTTCAAGGATGTAACACATCGAGGATGCAGCACTGGTTAAAAAAATTAGACTATTACACGTAGCTACCTTGAAAATTTCAAATGACGATACGTTACTCTACTATGTAACTCTTCAAAAACAATTTCAAACATTTTTTTAAACTACTTAAGGACAAGAACTTCAATAAAACTGCAATAACTATCGAAGTTCAAAACAACCTACTTGTGCTGGCTGTATGCCTCTGGATTTTTCCAGAATGAAGCAGATCCTAGTCATAACTGTTCACATTATCCGTTATTTTGAAAGTACTTTTTCTGAAATTTGGAAAAAAGTCTCCAAATTATAGTTTAACCTTATATACAGAAGAAAATGTTCCACCCCTAGAGATGCAACTTCAAATTGCAACAGGATGCCCATAAACAACAAAAGGAAAAAATCAAATAAAAATGAGGTGTAGAAATCACCAAATAAATTTGATTCAAATATCTCACAGATTAGTATGCCAAAACTCAAATGGAAAAGGCCCATCACGTCTTTTATACCAGGATATTAAGAATTTTAGAAACTTGAAATCACAAGTTTTTACTACATCATTTTATATGCACTCCATATTGAAAAACACCACAGATTTGCAAAACATCTTACGTTCTAGGACATAGCTGCTAGAATCCAGAATACTGGATCAAACCTTTGTTGATCCCTTTACAATAAATGCCTCTTACTGACAAGCAAAAGCAGCATCTTAAGAGATCTCACAATCAATAAGTAGTATTTTCCAATTGAATAGTATTTCTATGTTGCAAACTCAAGTTATTTTGCCTGTAATAGGCTAAAACATTTTACAGGAAAAATAATCATGACCTACATATTTCCTTGTGACAGTTACAGTAGTTATCACTAAAAAGTTCTTCTATGCTTTAATTTATTTCACAAGAAGTATACACTTCTAGAGAACATAGCAATGACCTATGCAGTCAACTATATGAACGTGAAAAGAAACTACTCATTATTAAACAATTTTTGCAGTAATTTTTACAAGTTTGAAGCACCACGGTTAATTACATGGCTCTGATGCAAAACAGCAATCAGCACACCTGCCAGATAAGCACTGTTTTAATTTAACAAAATATTGTTCGGCTTTAGCTATCACAAACAATAATGATTTGCTTTTTTCTTTTCCTGTATAGTCATCAGTAAAATTTTGCTGGTGCATGATACAAAATCTACACATGAACATGCTTACAAACCAGGTACACCCTGCCAAGGAGGAAAGCATAAATACCACATTGCAACACTGAATAAATTGTCCTGTTAAAAGAGACAAAAGAAGACCCAGAATATGGGTAATACTGCTGATCATTATCAACTATTCCCACCACTCGACCACTGGAATGCAAATCTTTTCTTTTTCCAGGGAACTGGAGAGGACTGCAAGTAATTTCAGTTATCTCTGATACCTCCCTCGATTCAAAACACGCTGTTCAGAAAGCTCTCAGATGTCTAGACAGGCAGCTTCATTCTGTATCCATATAGTTATTGCAGAAACAAGTGCTACAAATGCAAGAGCTCAATTCAAACAAAAGTAAAGATGCACTGCAGGTTCCTCTTCTTTCCCCTCTTCCTTTCAACTGTAATTCAGAGTAAGCCACAAAAGAAGGGAAGGACATATAAGCTTTCTTCCCACATCAGTATCTGTCCTGGTTTTGGCTGGGATGGAGTTAACTTTCTTCCTAGTAGATGGTGCAGTGCTGTATTTTGGATTTAGTCTGAAAACAATGTTGATAACACACCGATGTTTTAGTTGTTATGCAGTAGATTCTACTCTGATCAAGGACTTTTCAGTCTCTCCTGCTCTGCCAGTGAGGAGGGGCACAAGAAGTTGGGAGGAAGCAGGGACAGGAGAGCTGAGTCAACGAGCCAACCACAACTACAGGCTGCGCAGAGAATGGACTGCGACCAGTCCTGAGAAGGACTTTTGAATGCTGATTGACAAGAGGCTCAACATGAGCTGGCAGTGTGTGCTTCCAGTCCCGAAAGCCAGCTGTACAGTGGACTGCAACAAAGGAAGTGTGACCAGCAGGTCAAGGTGATTCTCCCCCTTTACTCCTATCTTGTGAGACCCCACCTGCAGTACTGTGTTCAGCTCTGGGGCCCACAACACAGGAAGGACATGGACCTCTGTCAAAGGATTCAGGATGCTCAAACGGCTGGAGCACCTCTCCTGGGAAGTCAGGCTAAGAGTTGGGGTTGTTCAGCCTGGAGAAGAGATGGCTCAGGGGAGACCTTAGAGCAGCTTCCAGTACCTAAAGAGGGCCTACAACAAATCTGGAGAGGGACTTTTTACAAGGGCATGTAGTGACAGGACTACAGGGAACGTTTTTAAACTGGCAGAAGGGAGATTTGGATTAGGTATTAGAAAGAAATTCTTTACTATAAGGATGGTGGGACACTGGCACTGGTTGCCCAGAGTAGTTCTGGATGCTCCATTGCATTGGTGTTCAAGGCCAGGTTGGACAGGGCTTTGAGCAACCTGGTCTAGTGGAAGGTGTCCCTGCCTGTGGCAGGGGGGGTGGGACTAGATGATCTTTAAGGTCTCTTCCAACCCAAACCATTCTATGATTCTATGATTCTACCAGCTAGAGGAAAGACTAGGCTGCCCTAACACCACAGTTTTCATGTTGTGGTCTGCAGACTTCTCTGGCCTCTAGGCTAATTAATTCCAAGGAATCTGTGAAAAGTAACCAACATAAATAAGCCTAGCAATTGGTATCCACTGCAGAAAGTTTGCATTTCCACAAGGCGAAATGTTAATGATGCACAAATAAAATGACTGCACACCAGTGCTTTTATCCAACAGAAGAATTGTTTTTCATGCTGATGCAACTGCACATTTATATAGTACACAACTATGTCTCCCATCTATCCCAAATACTCCTCCCCTCAACAGCCTAGAACATATTCTGATGTCTTTGATATCAACTTTAAATTTGTCTTTGTCATTTAAAGATTGTAACTCACCACTGTACTTCCAGTCTACACCACTTTTTCTAAAATTCTTAGTCAACAAACACTACTCATGTAATTCAGACATTACTGAAACAAATCAACGAAACAAACTTCTTGAGCTAGAAGTGTTTCTAGCTAGGTGCCTAGCTAGAAAACTAGAACCAGCAATAAGAAACACCAATAAAAAGTGAGAAGGGAACAAGTTATCTGAAATGTCTCTGCTTAAAGTCTCATTCCACATATAGTGTTAGTCCAAAACATCGCCAGTAGCAAGTGATTAATTTTAAACATTAGAGTTTAAAATTGCCTAAATTCCCAGTGTCTTTCCTTTTTGTAACTGTTAGAACAAACAGTTAAATCAACTTACCATACAGGTACGGGAGTTTTCTCCGATAAACGAATCTCTTAGCACCTGAGTAAGTTTACTTGCTCTGAAGGGTGTATGAGGTTTATTTCGGCCTAAGGCTCTAATGCACTCCTGAAAGAACAAACAGGTTTACGTATTTTAATTTAACATGTGTTGAATAAATGTAATACAAATACAACTCAATCATTATACACATGCCTTAAGTTATGTTGCTGTCCCCTAAAGTATCATTAAAATTTACCATTAAAGCTTGGATTCATGAAGTGTTAAGTTTTTACATCTTATTAAGCTCAGTAGAGATGTAGGAATTTACAAACTACTTGAGAACCTACAAACTTTCTGAATCTCATCCAAAATGTTTACATCTGTCGTATACAACAATAACAGAACAAACAAACAAAAAAATCAGTGTTGATGGTGAATTTCTGATTATCAGCTGTGAAAGCCAGAATGATCTACAACCTCCATTAGCAGCAGCAGTGTGGGCAGGGACACACGTTAAGTCTACCAACTGAAAGCAGTAGCTTTGATTCTGGCTCTACTACTGGCTTTCTTTACAGCTGAGAATCTTCTGAAAGCTTCCACAGGTCACAAACCTAGTAAGCATAGCTCTCTATTGATGTACTTGATGATCTTAAGGTCCTTTCCAACCCTAACTATTCTATGATTCTATGTTGGAAGACACTTGAAAACTGAAGTCCGTTTTAATTCCCCATTTTAAAATATTCTTCATGTTAATAAACAGAGATAGGTCTCCTCTATCACTCAAAAAGATATGGGACCAAACTGGTATTTGCAGTTGGTTGGTGAGTTCCAGTGAGAAATACTGTACAGATGTAAATATTACAAAATAACTGCAGAAGTTACAGCAGCAACTAATTACAACAGCGCAAACGAAGATCACATTAATCCAAATATTACTTCTGCTCATTCAGAACTCTTAACGTCAGTTAATAAATTACTTCTTACACAAAGAAAGTTTAAATTTGAATTTCTGTGGCATTGTTGTCATTTCCATATTTTAATCATTAATTCCAGTTTCTAACTTTGCCTTAATATTTTGTGTACAGGTATCTCTTCAGATGCATGGCTTCCTTGTACAGTTTTGACATGTCTAAACACAGAACTTCTTTGAACAACTATACTTCAGAATCTTTTCAAATTAGAGTTGTGCTTTTAGCAGCACTAACAGATGAAATGGCTTTTATGTTACACATAGTTCTACAGTAGTTCAGCTAATCCTACAGCTACAGCCATAATCTTGATGCTTTTCAAAATTTCCTGGAAACAGCTTCTTCCAAAAACCTAGAAGCTGTAGGATGATAATCTAAGAAAGCATTGCAAGTGTGAGACAGCATAAAATAGAACTAAAAATGGGGTCAGAATAAAACTGCCATAATATAGAACAGAACAAACACAAGGGCAAGTTGGTTTTAACTGAATTGATTACTGAAAAAACTCACCAGCTGAATTTTACAGACTGGACACAGCTGAGAGAAACAGAAAGACTGAAGCTTGCTGAAGGTGAATTTCATATGCAAATGCTAAAAAGGACTCAATACTTACAGGCAAGCAAGGCAGTGCACTTCCTTGTTTGTTTTTTTTTTTTTTAATTTTTGCATTAATATTATACTTACATAAGGAAAAAGATGATTAGATATAAAGAGAGGCAACAGATTTTCAACAAGTGATACTATAAACAGAAAACAGTAACACATGTATGTTGAATTTCTGATATGGCAACCAACAAGTTCAGTTATGATATTTTAATTTACTATAACCTTTTCTGGTTTGTGTACTCCTGAAAAATTAGAATTGTATTATCTCCTTATTAGTAAAAGGATCACAGGAGGACACTGCCAGCTTATAAAATTAATGGAATTTTTAACTACTTTTGCTTTTCATCACAGCTCAGAAAAACAGGTAACAAAATGACAACACTAATTTCATGTAGAGACATTAAAGAAGTAACTTCCTGTACAAAAAATGTGAACGGATTAGCAGAGGACTGATAGCCAGATGCAAATAGCAAGTCATGGATTAGCATCGAAGGCCACTCCTCCGAACATGCCAGTTTAATTTGAACTTGACAGTAACTTCAAGGGTCTTGAATATAAATGGAAAAAGCTGTGTAATATTTCTAGAGATAGGCAAAAAACCTGAAAATTAACATATCATTGAAACTTGTATCTTCTTGTACCACTGTTTAGACCTCCACTTGTTTTTATTTCCCCTTCCCAATATAATTTAGATCACAGCTACCAGTACAGCAGCAGCAGAACCTTTCACTGTAATTAAAAAGCCAAGTTGAATGAAAATGAACCAAGTATGTTGTATGGGTATTGCCCTGAAGGTATTAGCTAGTACAAAATCAATGAGTAAACTGGAAAAAAAAAAGTAAAAAAAAAAAATTAAAACCCCCAGAACAAACCAGCTTTACTTAATTACATATGGAAACAAGTGATAACATCAACACAGACTTGCTTCATTATTTACTTTGATGCTAAGTCAAAACAGGCCACAGTTTTGGAACTGCTGCTTCTACTTTTTCAACATGTCATACAATTTTGTAATGACACATCACAGGTTACAATTTTGTGGTGTTTTATGAGATCTGTTTACAGTCAGACACCAGTCTTCGGCCATGTTTATACTGCGGATAAAAAAGTAAGCACAGTGATTTTGGGATTCAGTTTCTTTATATAAAACCACTGTGTTGGTGCTGAGAGTAGTAAAACTAAGCAAAACTAACCAGCAACAGAGGTAAGTTTTGCAATATTCAATATTAGTCTCCCCAGTCAAGACTAAAAAATTACTTTCCCTATTCAGACTGAACCTCTGCCAAGCATTATAAACAAACATACAAGGCATGTGAATATTTAAATAATATTTCTTAGCTGTCTTGATATGTCCTGGACTGATGTATGAAAAATCTATAAAGTGACTATATGAGACAATCTGCTGCAAAAATTAGTCACAAATGGATTCCAATTTTCAAGGATTATTTTAATCTATTTGTTAGTTCTTTCTGGAAATGTTATTGTGTTGCTTTAGTGAACTAACAAACAGCAGTAAATAAATATGTTGTAAAAGTAATTTTAATTTTTTTTTAAGAAAAAACAAAATGACATCAGTAAGAATATTCCCAGTTAGTATTTCAGATCTTGAGTAGCTATGTCAGTCATCTGTTCCTCCCATTTTAGATAGACAGATATATATATAAAAATATATATATATGTATCACTGAAGTCCTCAAATTCCACTACTGGGGAATTTTTGTTGAATTTTTATTTTTCCTTTCTTAAACTACATGCAAATCAATAGCACACTTCCACAATGTTTCTACTTGGTAATTAACAAGTGTTCCCTCAGGCATTTAGAGGAGAAATTGATACATTATTTTACCTGTCACATCAATAGACAATGTAGAAAAGCAAAGCCTGCAAAAATATTCATTTTAAAAGTCATTGGTGTTCTATGTAGAAGGCTTCCACCTACTCAAAGGCAATGGAAACATTTCAGTTACCTTGAGTGCTAAAAGGCTCTTGTTAATTTCTGCACCTTCTAGTCGAGTCTGCCTGTCTGCACTGGAAGTATCTGCTCCTCTTTCATTGCCAGCCAAATCAATCAGAGAAAATTTACCATGCAATTTCCCTTTCCTTCTGAGAATAATCTGAAACACTGCATGGCTTCGAGATGAGTGTGCATTTGCAGATGTCTGGCCAGACGTCCTTTAAACAAAAGGAGAGAAAGGAAGGACATAAAAACAGGTGAAGGACCATACATGTTAAACACAATAACCTCAGAACATTAGGTTTTTTTCACAGCAGAGTCCTGTATTTGCTTACACATGTTGACAGCATATCTAACATTGTTGTGGACACTAGAGATACAACCCTAATAACTAGATGTACATAGCACAATTATACCCATTTCATCTCTTCAACCAGAAATGGAAAATCAGTAACATTTTACCTCCCTTTCAAAAGCAATAGTCAGATCTTCAAAGATTTCAGATTATCAGAGAGTTTACAAGTAAGATGCCGATGGTACTTTCACCTGATCAGGCAGCTGTCTTTGTACGAGGCTGATTTTAAACACAATGAAGCTGGGTTTTTAAAAAAATACAAAAATTCTACACTTAACCTCTGTCACTACATATCAAGGCCTTTAAGAGGTGAAGAATCTGGCAGTATTCCAGATTACAAATCACACGAATTCAAGCGAGTAAGATGCTTACATAATGCATGTAGTTCACATCCTGTAGAAAAATCAGTTATTTCTCTCTAGGAGACAGAGAAATTCTAAACATTTATTTAAAAGGTACGCAGATTCCTATTTTGCAGTCAACGTCATCAAAACACCCATATTAAAAAGCCATCACTACAAAGACATCCAAAAAAATTCTTATTCTGAACCTTTAATGTACAATGAAAAACTGCTGTAAGTTATGGGAGATACCTGCAGCTGTTGCCTATATCAATAAGCTTAAGAACATCTTCAACACATTTAACTTCCCGTTCCTGTAATCCCACCACTTGGACTTGCTGTTTGCCATCTTCTAACACTCTTAATTTTGTCTTCCTGTTCAACAAGTCAAAAACCTTAGGGAGGGGAGGAAAACAGAAGAGTTAAAGAGAAACTTTAAAAGACACTTTTGTTTCAAATCCTGTATCAAAATATGCAAAGCATTCCATGGAAAACATGAGTGTAAGAGAAGTATAAAGAATTACTTGAAATACAGCTTTTACTACAATGGGGGGCGGGGGGAACCAATAACTTATGTGACAAGCTCAAAATCTTGTTTGTGAAAGAGAAGTTCCCCTTCCTCAGAGAAAGATCAGGTACTCACCTTACCACTGTAGATCTCAAAAAATGTTGCATATACTTGGAGTTCTAACTTCTTATTGTTTGGTTTCTTTAGCATGAGAAAGACGTCTCGAGCTGTCAATACATTTCCACAATAAAAAGAAATCTTGTTATGTCTTTTCATTAAGTGAAGACTCATTAATGTGTAATAGTCTATTTTACAGCAACTGTCATATTTTGCAAGTATAACAGATATGGTCAATCAACCAAGCCTAAAACATCGCAGTTTAAACTACCACACTATATTAGAAGATGCAAAAGACTCTAAAATTGTAAAAATTACTCATCCATTATTACATTTTTTGAATAATCTATGTATACACATTTACTTTACTATGTAAAAACTACACGTCTAGGAACTACTTCTGATGTTACCAAAGCTCCACTGTAATGCAAAATATCACAGAACCATAGAATGGTTTGGGTTGGAAAGGACCTTAAGATCATCTAGTTCCAACCCCCCTGTCATAAGCAGGGACACCACACACTAAACCATGTCACCCAAGGCTCTGTCCAACCTGGCCTTGAACACCGCCAAGGTTGGAGCATTCACAGCTTCCTTGGGCAACTCATTCCAGTGCCTCACCACCCTCACTGTATAAGAACTTCTGCCTTATATCTAACCTGAACTTCCCCTGTTCAAGTTTAAACCCATTGCCCCTTGTCCTATTGCTACAGTCCCTGATGAAGAGTCCCTCCCCAGCATTCTTATAGGCCCCCTTCAGATACTGGAAGGCTGCTATGAGGTCTCCACGCAGCCTTCTCTTCTGCAGGCTGAACAGCCCCAACTTTCTCAGCCTGTCTTCATACAGGAGGTGCTCCAGACCCCTTATCTTTGTGGCCCTGCTCTGGACTTGCTCCAACAGCTCCCCGTCCTTCTTATGTTGAGTACTCCAAGTAGGGTCTCACGAGAACAGAGTAGAGGGGCACATGTAGACATATGTAGAAGGGCATATGTAGACTTGTATATTTGTACTACAGGGAGTAGAAAATCTGTAGATATCAACTAAACTGCAAAATGCCAACAAGCCAATAAGGTCTCACCTGCAAGTGCATATATGCCTTTAGAACAATCCTGGTTCTTTCCTGAAAAGTCACCACCCATAGTCTAAATAAAAAAAAAGAGAAAAAAAAAAAAAAATCACAGAACTGTAACTTACATATTTGTTACTTATTAGAACTTAGCTTACACAAAAAGAAGTGTCTTCTTTATATGTAGAAGAAATACTTACATGGGTTTTTCCACTGCCTGTCTGCCCATACGCAAAACAAGTTGCCATTCCCCTTTCAAATATGGTCTCCACTAATGGTCGAGCTGTAAACCTTAAATGCAAAAAGCAACAGCACTTAAACCGAATTACTTTAAGGTGCCATTACTATAAATTTATAATCATTAAGGCCAGAAGAGACAAAACTGGTCCTGTAGTTTGAGCGGACAAAGGCTATCTCTACATTAATTCCTGAACTATAGAGACTACCAGCCCTAAGGCATTAAAATATCCCAAACAATCATAGAAAAGCTACAAGGTCTCTCACACTTATTTTTAAACAATATTATCCTCCTTCAAACCCTAAGAAGAAAAAAAACTGTTTAAGTGATGTCCCACAGCATAGCTTACTACCTGGAGTTTGGAGCTTCCTATAGAAAACTAAATTAAAAAGACACCAAAGTAGGACAGTGGAGCAGATAAATACTTAAGTTTTGCCAATACTAAAATTTTGCTGAATTTTTGGAGTTGTTTTTTTATTTCCCAAACCCATTTTTTAAAGCCTTGTGTGCATTATTCTGTGTCAGCTGAGAAAATGAAACAGAAAAATAAAGGAGAAAATGGAGATCGTAATATCTTGAGGCTCAAAGTGGGTGTGTGTCTTTGTTGTTGTAGTTCTTTTAAATCAGAAAGATTCAATATTTCAAGCAAGGTAACTTAGCTCCATGCACCTGGATGTTACATCAGCCAGATTGCTTCCAGTAGCCAAGCTAGCTCAGGCATCTCATAATACAACAATATAACCTCTCTTGCTTTCTTTGCACTCCTTCTGCACTCTCTTCTTATTTGTTTCCTTCTCTTAATTATCTTACATTCAGTCTACAAGCTCTTTGAGGATGGAGCTAGCCTTTTCTTCCAAGTTTCTCGAAGACTAAAAGCCATGACTCAGTTTTCTCAGGTGCTGCACACACACTAAGACAACAAGCCTAAGGCACAGGGAGAGCTCAAGAAGATGTTCATAAGGAGGCAGACAATACATGGTAGAGCTTGGAAACCACATGGGCTTGGAGGAGAGATGAGAGCAGGACTGAGGTCAATGGAGGTGGACATAACATTACAGGCAAATAACTTGGGATATAGAGTTAAACAAAAGCAAACAGATAAAAGAATAGAGGTAGCAATATACTTATCTGATAACATACAGAATACGCATAAATGACCGAGGGTTAAGCCCACAGTTATTGACATGGAAGACACTCCAGAAAAAAAGATTCATAAAAGAAAAAAGCATATACACATACCTGTAAACCATTTCATTAGGAGACGTTTCATCAAAGGTATAATCAAAACGAAAAGTTTGGTTTTCTAGGTACCTTGTTAAATCCACCTTTTGTTTTGGTTCATGTACCATCACAACATCTTTACTAGGAATTGTTATTACATCAAGGTCTTTCATTAAAGTTTCTGTAAAATAAGTGAAATATTTAACTAGCAACACATTTTTTTAATTTTTTTCATTGTGGACACTCTTACAACATCCCAGATAACACAACTCCTCCAAGCAACAACACTGCAATGGATTTGGGGCTTCCAATGCCTAGATTTCATTTTGGAAGTCTAGTCACCCTATCCTACCAATTGCTAGAAATTAAAGACAGGTTGTACAAAGCTGGTAAGAAAATAATCATTAATTTTAGCACTATTATTGTAGCTTGTTATGTATTCTATAATAACACTTCCCAAAGATTTCACATTTTTCTCCCGGCTTCTACACTGTTTTACAGATTAATGACATATCCTTAAGTTTTTATAATGTCTCTAATTGATAAACTGGATGCTTATTTTCCCTAAATCCTTAATGCTACAGTCATACATTCACAACCTTCCAAAAGAATTTTGCTTTCATTTTACACAGACATTTTTGTTTGTGTATTCCTCCTGTAACATAAAGGATACATCTTTAATATAGAATTTCTCCGGAATAAAATCCTTTCTAAAGATTACCTTGTAAGCAGAAAAAGCTAAAAATACTAATAATCCTTCCTATCACTGGGAATGAAAAAATGCCATCTAGACGTGATTTCAACAGCGAGGTCCCAGGATATAATTACTACACAGCATTACAATTTACTGGCAATTGTTGCACGAGATACGAGTCAGCAAAATAGAGAACCCAGTGATCCATGATATGCACAAAAATAAAGATCCTTTGTGTGTACATTCAGGATCACTAATGTGTCCTACTTCCATTTCTATGTAAAATTTCTTAAGGCATGCAGTTCAGGAATTTGATGTGGCTGTATGCAATCAGATAGAAATCTTTTCATCGGTTAACAAGCTGATCAAACAGTACAATGGTTACCATTGCATAATATTATACACCAACAGAAATATGCGTTCAATCACTATATAATCATTTTTTCAACTGCTCTGCAATAAAACAAGATGCAATTACTCTACAGTAATCACAGAGAAAAAATAAGGAACAGGGATGAGAAGAGATGCAAGTCAGTCAAATCCTTGCAGCAAAAGCTTTTTAGTTTAAGCAGTCAAAAGCTGTTTTTCCTTAAACAATTATTCGGAGTAAGACATTTACCTGCTCCCAGCTATTTGTTACATTCCTTGCTGATGAAAATTCAGAATATTGTCTCTGAAACCCACCATACATTTCTCAATTATAAATATATGTCACTGAAGTAAAATCTCAATGTCAAAACAAATTATTTTTTTAAATTAGATTTTAAAAACTTAATTTTTTTTATTTAAATAAAATAATTAAAATATCAATGTGAACACCTACTTCCTGCAAAGTCAATCCACAGAATGATTGGTACTGATAACCCTAAGGTACAAACCAATTTCATTTTTTCCTCTTCAGGGGCTTAAATACTAACATCTTTGATTCTTTTATACTCTTCGATTTTAAAATATGGCATGAGAAATACTGTTTCTTATGAAGTGTGTGTTTTCAGAAAATTGTATCATGTGGGTACCAGATAATGCACAGATTATTTCACTAGTACCTTTTTACTGCAGGTTATTCTTGAAAATGCAAAATAACTTTAGTACTAACCTCATTTTTTCATACACCCATCTACCTACAAACAATTTGCGCTATTTTTTTAAATAACCTAAACCAGTAATACCTAAGATATACAACTTTCACAAGATCAAATCCTACTTCTGATCCCAGCTCATGCCCTGTGACAACTTGCTCTCATTTACTGCAATCTCATTTTGTCCACCTTCAGTAGAAGGTAACATTTTCCCTAAACGCATGAGATTTTTAAGTCATATTTTATTGTAGATAACCTCCAACAATGAAATCGGAATTCAGCTGCTACCAGACCTGTGCATTGAACGCCCTCATTATATAGGTTGTGCTAAATATTTTCAATTAATCAATTTGAGATTATGCATTCTTTTCAGATCGGTAAAAGAGAAAAATAGAGGGAATAGGAAAACAGTAAGCATCAAAACGAAGAAAAATCAAGTATGGTAAGTTAAAGGTCTTTTCCAACCTTGTTGATTCTATGATTCTAAGTAGCAACATGGGGGGGGGGGGAAGAAGACAAAAACTGTATATTGGTATCAAAATGTTTTCCCTTTCCCACACAATTCTCCTGTTTGCCTCTGAATATGCTCCAGATAATCTTGCGTGTGTAGTTCTGACAGTATAAAAGTAAGAAAAGCATGCCATGTAGAGTTAGAGTGATGCTCTTCAAGCCCTTTATCTAAACAAAATATAGAATCACTGAATCATAAAATGGTTTCGATTGGAAGGGACCTCTAAAGATCATCTAGTTCCAAACCCCCTGCCTTTGGCAGGGACACCTTCCGCTAGACCAGGAAACAGAACAAAAAACATCTTTCAAAGTGTAAGTCAGCTTACTTAAGCACTGGATTCCAACAGAAGCATCTGCATTCTTTATTTCCCACTGAAAGTAAAGAACTTCATGGGAAGATTGAGATTTAGCTGAAGTTGAAAACCTCAACTTTTTTCTTTTATACAAGCTCCAGTCTGTCGGATAGACAGCAAGAAGTTGTAATACTAATCTCATATTTAAAAAGTAACTAGTAGTGTAATAGTTTCACCTTTGATCAGTATTCCTAGATCTCTAACATGAATAATATTACTATCAGAAGCAGCTTTTCAGAGGAAAAAAGTCAGCAAAATCTTTAATGGTCATACCTTTTTTATTGAGTGGTCGTTTCCGTACACAAACACATATCCTGTGCTCATCAATCTGCAAAGGAAATAATGTTTCAGTGAACTATACCCCAATTCCAGTTACACAGTAGCTTACTTATTTTTGAATTAATTAACCAATAATTTAAACTAAGAGAAATATTTAAGACAGTGAGTCATCTGAACATGGAAAAGCTCCTTGTGTCTGCATAATAGCAAAGAACCCAAAAGGGAGAACCATGCATTAACAAAATCCCTGCAGAGAGTGGTCTAATCCTGTAGCATCCCAGGTACATCTTGGAATGTTGCAAGCAAATCCAGCCCTAACAGGGTAGATATACTATTGACAGAAATGATCACCATCTCCAATTTCCACAGAGATCTGATAATCTTCATTTAAGAATCCCGATCTTCTGACTTCTCTGTAAATCAAAGGCCTTCATCACCTTCAAAGATCAAATATTAATCTTTATACTCAACAAGGTTTTAGAGAGAAGCTTAATGGTTCTGTGTGCATATCCCCTAGCATCCCAGGAAAATTTACAATACAGAGGCTGAGTGACTACTTAATACATATTGGTATTATTTTATAGTAAAAGGATATTTAAATAACATAACAAAATTAACAATAATTTAGGACTTTCAACACCTACTAATTTCTATAGCACCAAATTACTGAAAAAATAAATCCATGTGATAACAAATACCAAAACATATTAAACTACTTACTTTCCATGTTCATAGACAGAAGTACACACTGAAAAAATGGAAAACACGTAGCAAAAATACAGAAGGACAAGAAATTTGGATGTTATTGGGGTACTTACAGGATCTGCATTTGTCAGTGGTCTGTAATCCAAACTTGCCCTGAAATCTCTTATCATACACATAATTTCATAATTTGGGTTTGTAGCATCAACATCCTAGGGAAGTAAACAACAGAATTTCTAACATTTTTTACTGAAACTGACTATCTTCAGTATCTTCTGTATTTATTTATGAGAAAAACACACACTAACTGAAATCTTATTTTTAATCCAAAAAGCCAGAAACATCCCAAAATGCAAGTTTAATGCCTTTTTCCATTCTGACGCAGCTAAACCAAACCTTTTATATTTATATATATGCCTTGTACTTAATGTTTTTGGTTGGCATGCAACAGAAAATAATTTTTACTTTAGGACTCATTAACAGACTACTCAAGAAAAAGAAATGACTTCTGCCTTTGACAGATTCTTCACACCTCTGAATGACTGCACAGAACCTGATAGCATACACAACCAATGCTTCTTAATCAGAGGTAAGGCAGTCCAACAGATGGATGGATACACTCCATTACACAGGTATAACACTCACTGCAGAAGACAGTGACAACACCCAGGTGCCCCAAACACAGCTCTGCTGGATCCGACTTGGTTGAAGGAGCTTTATCCTACTACTGGTCCTGAGTTAACTCCTACAGTTACTGAGATGCATTGGAAACACTTCTAATACTCCTAGACCCTCGCTAACAAAAGCAATTCCAAGGATACAAAGTAGGCTACATCCAGGCTCAGAAGGCTTCCCATCCCTAAAGCTGGAGTCATCAGTACTAGAGCAAATGGATATATAAGAGGCCATGCATGGAGCCCCTACAAGCCTTGCTAAGCCTAAGCCTACTGTAAACTGAGCTGGTTGTCTGCAGAACTGATCAAACATCCTTCCTGTCACTTCTCTTTGATACTGTTAGCTTTTACACCATTTCAGGACATGCTGATGATGCCATACATAGCCAGCTCTGGCGCATGTACCTTCTTAAATTTTGCATGGCTGCCTGCAAATTATAGAATGATTTCAAAGGATTGGAAACTCCTCCTGGGTCACAGCTGGTTGTGGAAACAGCATAGGCACTCTCAGAAAGCACTGCACTGGTGTTAACAAGGCAAAAGGGAGCCAACTCATCACGTCCCTGCATGTGTGACGCAGCTGATCCTCACCTCAGGTAAGACTATGTCCTGGAAATCAGAAGTCGACTGTGCTTTGATGTTGTTCAGCCTGACAACAGTGAACTAAAACTGCTAACAGTAAGTCCACAAAAAAAAAAAATAAAATGTATTGCTGCTGAAAAGTTTCCTTCTAACGTTCAGAAAGGGGTATTGCTTATTATGGAAAAAGCGTTTGCCTAAAATTCTTTAAACCCTGCTTAAAGGTCTTGTCCACTAGAAGACTGCCTGGCTAATTACTGCTGCATTTCACAACAGTAACAACAGAATACACAAAACAACAGGAAGCACAGACACATACAAGTTATCAAGACAAACAGAGCTTCCTCATACAGAGGTCTAAGACACAGATGAAAGGGAGGCTTCAAAGGAGTGATAAAATTTCAGGTGTAATACCAGGCTAAAGCATTTTAATGTTTCAGGATTTTTAATGTTTGTTCCTTAGACTTAAAGACATAGTAATGTTCTGTATTTGTATAAATGGATGGAAATTAGAGAACATTAATTCAACATAGGTAATTTTAGGTCAACTTAGAAACATCACTAAATCCTGATGTAAATTGCCTGAATTATTTACTTGGTGGTGGTACTTCTCATGTCAGTAGCGGATTCCCAGTACCTCTTTAGAGACTAACAGATACTCACAGGACTGCCATCAAGATTACACTACTAGTTTTGATGAAGCTTTTACACCACTGTGACAAAGTCATTTAATATTAACAGATTTTTTCTTACAGGACTAGCAACTTCATTTTCTTTCACTCAAGTTTCTAACAACTTGATGCCAAGCTGCTTGCATAATGAATAACTAAATTATAAATGCATAGACTGGTTTGGGGGGGGGGGGCGGAATCCTAATAGTTAATGATCAAACTTGAACCTTAAGTGTATCTCCTACAAAGCATCAAAGATCATAAATTACAATTTATCATCATGTTGCAAAACCTCACTGACAATAACAGGCATATCTAAAAGCTAAACATTTGATTATTTTCAATAATACATTTTCCCTAAGAAATAGCTATCTATCACCAGTACTTGATCTTTAAGGAACACCCAGCGAGATAGGCAATTGTAAGCAATTATTTCTACAGGAAGAAAAATAGGCAGAAAACTGCCTAAAGTAATAGTTATGAGAGCAATGCAACCAAGCACCAAAATATTTATCAAACCTGTATACAGGATGAAAACACTTAATTTCATGATTATTGCAGTTCATACATTAAAGAGTGAAAAAAGCACAATGATTTTGCAAACTTTTCTTGCTGTCATACATTTTCCATCCAAGCTAAATATACTAACCTGAGCTCTTTTTTCTCTAAGTTCCTGCTGTTGTAACCTTCTCTTTTCACGTTTCTCTTGCAATTTTTCAACCTCTTTTACACAATTAGATTTTCTACGTGCTTAAAGGAAACAACATAATTTTAAAATATTTTCAATGTTACATGAATTTAGTATTTACGCTGAAACATTATATTAATTTATCAGTCATTGGAATGCATTGATATCAACTATCTTCTCAAGTAAATCAGTATTAGTACACAATTATGGCAATTTCATTTATAAAATGAATCAAATAAATGGATTAGAAAAAAGTAATGGGAATGGTACATTAAGTACACGACCAAAAATGTAAGGACAATGACCATCAAAAAAATAATTGGACAGTTACACGTGATCTCGTGGTCTGAATTAACAGAAAGCCCAAGCAAACAAAAAAAAAAAAAAGAAAACAACACTGCCATGGTTAAAACAAGATAAAGGAAAAATGAATTCCAAATACTAGTACAACTATGACAAAAGTGAATATTTGTTTAGCCACAGCTCTCTGAAAAAGCTCCTCAGGGAAGAGCAGAGACAACTGTGCATGTAGACCATTTGTCATTTACGGACGACAATGTAATCCACGAGAATGTACATGTAACGCCCAGAATGAATGAATCCTTGATACACGGTTTACATACAAGGGGGTCCAAATTCCTTTTTTGCAGCTTGAACTGGAGATATATCTGAAACACTACCATTCTGTTGAGAGGAGAAAGCCTGCTCGGGAAGCTGAGAAGGTCGTGCACGTGCAGAACCAGACACTGCAAAGGAAAAGCACAAAGCTTATCTGGACAAGGAAGTGTAACATTTCTACCTGATTCTGAAATGCTTTGTTATAACAAGGTAAAACAAGGCCCCTTTCCATATATTTAGAAAGTCTACTAATAAAGATCTTTGCCATGCAGGCTTTTTTATCCTACCATTATACACCAACACAAGATAATTACTAAGCACCAATGCTGCATGTGCACATTTTTAAATATTCCACTGCAGGATTAGTACAGATATGTGCACAGGCTGAATCATGTACTTGAAGATATTCAGTCCTGAAGTTTAAAGTGCTGAAATTTTATTTCCATTGCGATTATATGCAACAAATTAGTAAGAAAAGAAGCCCCACTGTTCCACATTCTCTAGAGTTCCAAATGGTCCTTGACCGTATGATCTCTGGAGAAGGAAAGATACAAATGAAAGGCAGCAAAGTGCAGCTCAATCTGTGAGTGGAAGATAAAAATTAAAATGCTTTTTAACACCGTACTGGAAAAGATACAGGTACAATCACTATGCCTAAACTTAGGCATTGATTCTGTATGTGCCAATGATGCCAATTTCTGAAGATGCAGTGTTGTCTGTTCCCAGTGAATGCAGTTGGAATGGTGAGCATGCAAGACACTTTTGGTAGAGCTAAAGGCTTTAAATTGGTTTTTCAAAGAGCTGCTTCAAGCAGCTCTGCTTCAGCTGGCCTGTTTCCTGCACATGCTCCTAACAGAGTCTGCCAGAAGAGTACAGACGGTATCTGCTTTGATTAGCAGCCAGAGATGGCACTCTGAACAAATGCCAGCTCACTGTGCATCATGGAGGCAACTATAGAAACAGGTACTGAATGGGACAAAGAAGACAAATGCCCAGACCATTCCAAATATAATAGGAGATCTAGGTTATAGCACAAACTGACGACACAAAATAAGACAATGTGTTGAGAAAAGCTTAATTACAAGGATAACAAAAGACAAATACTTAGGCTGAACGGTAAGATGCATAGGACCTATTAAAAAGACCTATTAAAAACTTACAGCACTATTCCATATTAAACAGACCATTCACCACAAACAACATGTATGGATGTGAGGACAGTCCCATCAGCAAAATGGCTCAAATTTAGACCACATTACTTTGAAAAAAAATATTCCCTCCTTAAGAGATTTCCAATTTGCTTTACAACCCCAGAGGCAAACGGCAGAAGGGCAAAAGTGGTCCCTATCATCCACCAAAAGAGTCTGAACACTTGCAAAGATAAGCAAGCCAACTTCTTTAAGTTTAAACAGATGGATGGGAATCTAGTCTGAATTAATGACAGTAGATTAATGTTTGGAAGAAGAATCACCACCCTTATCAATACAAGTTAACTAAGTTTAACACACAGTAAATTAAAAAATAAACAGTCACTATTCTCTCTCATGTTGTAGATACATAACATCTGTATTAATCCAATATATTCTTTTCACCTATCCTCCTGTTATATTTCAGCATTTTCTGTAGATTTTCCACTATCAGCTGAGAGTGAAAAATAACCTCTAGAGCTTAAGTACTCTTTGAAAGAATGTTTACACACAGACTGCTACAAGACTAAGTTAAAAAATTGAAAGTGTAAGAATTTTAAGTGCACTACTTAGAATATATTGAAAAGCTCAATTATACTGAAGCAAAATTGAGGGCGCTTTAACTTGGAAAAGGCCACACAGGCTTTAATGTAGCATAATTTAAAATTTTTGCACCTTCAGTTCATTCAGCTTAACTTTCCTAATGCTACACTGCTTAAACCTGTACATAAATACTAGTCCTACGGTATAAATTTCTAAATATACACAGGAATTGTAGGAATGATGTACCATGTCTTTTATACATCACATGCATACATGCTGAATGAGAAACACAGAACAATTAAGGAGTGTTAGATGAACAGGAGGTTAAAATGTTCCCACATTTTTTACTTCCTTCAAAGAGGTAACATTTACCTCTGTTATCTCTGATGGGGTTGTCATTCTTAATAGGCACCACAGTTCGACGAGTCTATAAAGAAAGAAATCTTTGTTACTTGATCACCATCTTATTGAAAATGTAAATTGCAGCCCCACCTCTGCCTCTTTCCAGTGAATGAAAATAATGTGACATCAGCAACAGAGAGGTGATTGCTGCCAAATCCCTCCATGAAAGCCCAGGGTGAAAACTGCTTGAACTATACACTCTGTTTCAAAACAACCTCCCTAAACCTTTTTGTATTTTTCCTTGAGATATATTTAGTCATACAAATATTAGTTCTCCAGTTCCTCTCCACCAAACCTATTCTTAGAAAAATTTTTAGAAACCCCTATTCATCATAGGAAAAGAAAGGAACACAGTTATCAAATAGCTCCACAGACACAAAAGTTGAAGTAAAAAATTCAAACATAATAACATGCATAGGAGTACTACAAGTTTAACATGAACATGTTGCATTGATATTACAAACCTTTAGGATTTTGTTTACTTTGGCTGATGGAGCAGGTGGTGGTAGTGTCTCTGGACCAGGTTCAATATCTTCATCAGGTGCAAGATCTGGGTTAAGTGAACATATACTCTCCAAGTCAATCTGGGTAAAAGAGTATAAAACACATTTATGAGTCTTAAAACAACATTCACCCTCTTCATTTGCCCTGCTACATTTGAGAATAAACATTAAACGTATTTAGTGATTTTATCCCACAGTTTGTTAATTATACAACTTGAATTATCTTGTTTTATGTTCACTAAAAACAGTGTAAGCTTTGGTCTTCATATTAATTGAAAACACACCCTTCGGGCATGGTCTGAATTAAAAATGACCAGGAGATATTTATGATTTTGCAAACTGATTAAACTAAAAGTTGATAGTATTACTGCGGTAATATGACAATTACTGCAAAATACAAAAGATATTCTGTAACATAAAGATAACTCAATATTTTGAAATGTCCCTGGCAGTGAAAAATAAGCAGACAAATTACAACCGCCCAAGAAATAAAAGCACAGTTCATGTTAAATTTATCATGTTCTGTTTTTTGGTTTGGGGTTTTCTTGTTTGGGGTTTTTTTTGTTTTTTTTCTTTTTTTGTATAGTGTTTTAGGGGGGACTGGGGAGAAGAGGAGGGGGTGTTTGGTTTTCCTTTCAGTGTTTCTCACTCAAAATACTGTAAAATATATGGGGGGAGGGGCAGGATCTTAAAAATAGCTGGCTTCAGCTCTATTGAAACTTGGTTTTCTAAAAATCTGAAATAGCTTTGGTCACTACAGACTGTCACTTCCCCTGGCTGGACTTTTCAAAGACCTCACAACTGTATAGATTCTGTGTGTCCAGAGGGACAAGCTCTGCTGATGAGATCACCAGGACTGTCTCGCATTTTTTTTTTCCTCTTTCCTGTGTTTTCACAAAACTGGTGAAGAGCAATTATTTCTGAGATGCTTCTTCAAATCTCAGCAGAGACTGGCTAACATGGTCCAAAATTTAAAGGAAGAGGGAATAGCAAAATGTCACACACAAAGACACAGTTTCTCAAGGAAAGCGAGGCTGGAAAATTATTGCCAAAACAAAATACATAGTAAACAAACCAGCAGTTAAGTTCCCCAATAATACAAACACAAAATATCTTTCTAATCTAGCTCTTACACTGGTTTTCTGTCCAACTTGCAAGTCACTTCTCAAAAAATTAATTTTTCTACTTGTAAGAAGAGTATAATAAGGTCAGCTTTTGTTAATCATGTTCAAAATCAACAGATGAAAGTAACTACTTAAAAGCTACGACACAGCTCAGGAATTCAAATTTAATACAAAAGAAAACAGCATTTGCCCGGCAGCTTCCATGCAAAAGTGTCTGTAACCAAAGAACCATCAAGTAAATTAGGATTTATAACTTCTTTTTGTTTCCACTGCGAATTCCAAAGTAATATTCATGTAGACTACACATATAAAAAGAAAAAAGTTCTAGAATAATTAAGTTTACCTCTTTGCCTTTAGTATCTCCATTTTCAATCCATTCAACGGTCACACTTTCATTTTCTTCATTTAGGGATGTTACCATAGCTTGGTGGATTCGGCCTAGAGAGCAAACACAAATGATCATTTATTAACTGGTGCGAAAATTTGCCATAAATTATTTTCATTCCTGCACCAAAGCATTCAGAGAGAGGCAGGAAGAGGGTTAAAAAGAATTAAGTGGTAAAACACAAGATGATTCCTGGCCACGCTCTGTGAAGTGGCTCTGACCTGATCCATCAGAGTAGAATCCAACAGTCAGCATACTAGTGAAGAAGCAAAATGAAGAGAAAACTGAGCCGTAAGCAAACAAAATACCACATGAAATCCACACCACTTAAACTCTCTTTTCATGAGAGAGGAAAACTCCAATACCATCAGTCTCCTACAGGCCCCAAGTCTCCCAAGGTATGCTCCACATCTGTTTATTTGTCCCACTCCTAGGCTGATACAACACTGTATATCCAAACACAGGAGTGAAGCCCTCTGAAACTGTACTCTGATATCCATTTCTTACGGGCATCCAATCAGTTGGTAATTTAACTACAATTAAACTGCCATCAACTACAATACAAATCCTCATTTTAAAACCAGCCGTTTACACAGACTGCTGAGCTGGAATTAAGGTGCCATAGCTTTGACTTCTTCAGTGAAGGACCCAGCAAGCCCTCATAAAGTACAATAAAACCAATGGAGACCCATCTAACAGCACAAGTAACAAATGTACACTGTTATTATTTCTTTTATTGCAAAGACTGCCTAAACATTCAGACCTAGTTAAAAATTAAGCAAGAAGAGCGACGATGGGGAAGCATTATGGAAGGTAGTAGCAAATCTGTATACTCTAATATGATGTCCAGAGAAAGAGACTAACTGAAATTCAGGCAAGGCGTGTAGCACTAAGGGGGCTCGCAGAGCAGCCAGCCCCCCTGGGCAGCACTGCTTTCACATCTGCAGTGCTCACCTTGCCAGCAATACACATTACACATGTATTTACAGCCTCTGCACTTGTCCTTGCCCAAAGCATAACATTCACTTGACCACTAAAGAAGGTTAAGTGGGTTTTTTACCTAAGAAGTGCCTCCCCCTTTGCTTCAGGTGGCTCCTTTCCTCCAGCTTTCACTCGGTTTTATTTCCCTGACCCATACTCTGTCTTAAAAAGACCTTCCATTTGTGCTTCCTGAGCACCGTTCTCCCCAGGTGACCCAGCTATGTGTGCTGCAGGGACCATCTGTCCTGCATTCCCCACTGAGGTGGTGCCAGATGTGCAGGCAGGGACCACCACCATGCACAGGCACTCCTACCTTTCTCCTCACCCAAAGGAGGTTGTGCAGGCATGCATCCTGCCGTCAGGACTGTGCCCAAACTCTGCTAGTGGCTGGGCTGAAGCAGACTCACTGAACATGATACTCTCTCACCTTATTTTCTTGGACAAGCATTTTTGTGCAAGTTTTCTTTGTGTAAGGTCCTCAGCACCTTTCCATTAATTTTTCTGCATTTAATAACCTCTTTTGTACAAGAACACCCTGTTGTAGAGCTGTTTCAGTGAGCTATCTGGTTCATCAGTAAAGTAGCAACAGAAGCCACTGTCTTCCTGTAGCAATGCCACTCCTACAAAGAGCATGCTGATAACACACAAGGATGAGATTGGTGTGTTATCATCATTGTTCTCAGACTAAAGCCAAACCATAGCACTGCACCAGCTACTAGGAAGAAAATTAACTCTATCCCAGCCATACAAGGTCACAAAAACTGTGGGAACAGGAAGACACTTAATTGGTATAATCTGCTACTGTTTTAAGGCTTGATCTAGCTGTCAATCCAGAATCAAGAGAAATATGATACATAAAAAAAAAGTTTAGCAAACACATTCTACACAATATGATAATAAGCTATAGTATACTACCAAATTTCACAAGTTTTGAGGAAAAGCACTATTCACAGTTGAGATGTGTGACATTGTATTAGTCATGCAGCCATCACGTAAGTCCTATTACCTGCTCATGTGCTCTATTACTTTTGACAGAGAATGAATAATAAAAATAATAATTTAAAAAGGTTTTATCTTTGCCATAACAGGTGAAAACAGATCAAAGCAGGCTGATGAATGAACAGAAAATACTGAGCACTCTCACAAACACAGTAAGCCAGCATGCTTTAACAAAAGAATCGCAATAAATCTTCCATCTCAGTGCCAGATTTCATCCATTCCCTGGCCAACAAAGTCAGGACTGAATAAAAAATAAAGAAAAACCCACACTAAAAAAAGTTATGTCCATCTTCCAAATATTCTCAAAATATTCTCAGCTTAAACAGAAAATGTATGCTATAATGTTAAAACTGGCAATCTACCCATACAACTTGTTCCTAAAAATTCTTTTGTGTTACTAGAAGTTACATGTTATTGATGTGCCAGAAAGCACATTTACATCTTTACAATTGCCTCTTGCTCTCTGCAAACAGTATTCCATTATATTTTTCTAGTACACAGCTGAATACAGCAGCTGGGAAATTCAGGAATGCCAGCAACCAATTAGGCTGGCATAAACCTCGTCTAGCATATAAAGCAAGACCAAGCTGCAAATACTAAAGCATAAGAGCCAAATCAATCTGCAGAGAATGGTTGAAGGTAACATCCCTGATTTCTGGTGCATCAGTAGTATCAAAATATGAAATGTAAACATGCCCATGTAAACACAAACGTGCATTAGGACAAAGTGAAAAAAGAACAAGTGATTCAAGAAAGACTATCTTCACACACATATCAAAAACAAAAGCAGAAAGCAGAGCCATAGTGCTAATATGCTGACTCTTCGCTTGGCATTTCTTTAATTTCAAGTGCCTTTCCTCACACGATTAGAATTCACATCACAGGCAAAACTTCTTCTGGGAAGTCATTCCATTGCTATAGGGCTCAAAACTAAGGGAGAAGTTATTTGAAAAGGCTATTACTTGTGTGAATATGTTCTGTCATACAGTGCGTGGCATCTAGCTTATCTCATGCTGACCAGAGAATACAGAAAATACTGCTGCAAATACAGCAATGCAACACAAAAGCATGTGAAGCCAATACTTTAAAATTACCTAAAATAACAAGTTACAAAATTCTCCCGTGAATCAATACAAGTGAAGAACATCAATTCTCCATTCCCTGCCTTCCTAGTCATTTGATGGACATTTGACAAACAGAAGAAAGCAAGCATAAACATCAGCAGAAATATCAGATAAATCTCCTCTATTGTAAGAGTTCTTAGGGTAGTTATTCATGCAGAATAAGTTTCAGGAAGCACCAGTAAAAGCAAATAGCCAGGACTAAATCAAACATTTTAACTAACCCTCAGCAAAGGTAGCAGTGCCAACAGACTGCAAATACCAAGCTATACTTAGATCCCCATCCCTAAGCAAACTGAACAAACAGTTTCTACCTGTAAAATTTCTCCAAGCCACCAAAATTTTGAAGCAGTGATCAATGACAGTACTAAAACTATGGTGCTTTCATCTTAATACTTTTCAGAAACTTGCATTAACACTATTAAATATTGGTTCATGTTTTCTAAATTACAGCCTGGGAAACAGCATTGGCTAACATGTGACTCAAACCCCTTTGCACTCTCCCAAATGACTCAAGAAATAACGCTGGAAAAAGACCACAGCCTTCTCCACCCTTTCTCATAATTAAAAGTTCACCCCTCGCAAAAGACACTGTACTCACCGATCTCATGCAAGAGTTTTGTGAAGTGTTAGAAATATCTTCGAGTTGTAATAACTAAAAATCTACACATAGGGTCTGGATCAGGCCATGGAGAAGAAAGGTTCATAATTTCCACTATGACCATCTCATTCCTCGCCCAAAAACAAGAGCAGGACTCTGCCTGGCAGCATTATGCTACGACCATACTACAGTTGTTTAAGCCTTGTCAGTTCAAAGCCACACAATCAGTTTTAGCAGGACCAGCCTATGTCAATGTTAACAGACCCAACAGTCAGGAAAGAAAACTCACAACTTATGTTATATCCTTGCCACATCTTTAGGAGCACAAATGCATTACGTTAGCTCAGGCAGTGGTCCACCAGCAGCGCACTTAGCTTTCTAAGTGTATCAACACTAGATGTTTCATAGGTGAACGCAAAAACATACTACAGCTTAATGTCTGCTAAAGAGTCCTGCTGAGGATGACCACTGCAACAGAAGCTGCCCAATCCCTGAAAGGATTGTAACAGGCACTTGTGAAATAGCCAAGATTCTCCTAATCACATTAATGAGGGACTTATCTCTCATCTAGAGACACCTGGACAGGATTGACCTTCACCTTCGGCCACTTGATATTCAAAAAGTAGGATCGCAAGAAGTAAAATCTTCTTCACTATTTTGAAGATAATACAATCCCCAAGTTACATATAAAATATATGTGTGTGTATATATATGTTTTGGAGGAAAATGAGGCTGCAAATCCAGAAGCAGCATTTATTGGAATTACCATGGTCCAGAAAATAGTCTCCTGTGCTCTGCGCTCCAATCCTGGCAACTCTTATGAAAGGATTTTCTTGCTGTCACAGAGCTCAGAGAGGTGAGAAATAATCCTCTACTCACTCAACAATGCTTGTAACCAAACTTGCAAGGAAAAAGATAATTCAAGGCTTGGCATCTCCAGCAATATCAACTGTGGCAACATCTCTAGGCAAGCAATCAGAGGTTGTCATGGTCTTCCCTGTACTACCCATACAGTTCTGCTGCTGATCCCCCAAGGAAAAACCAACAGTTACTAATGACAGATGTTTCCGTCTCCACAACAGGAAACATGTTTGATGGTATTTTGTTTCAAAGTTTCATTTATCCACAAACGAGTAGCTTCTTATTTTCTTTGTATCTACCACAGTTACACTTCAGTTTTGTCTAACTTAATCATACAGATACTGGTTTTGCCAGCCTTCCTTATTGTCTTTTCTGTTACCTTAGTTATAGTGTTATCATACACAGCAACTGACATATTTCTAAGGCAAATTCTTAAACATGTACAAAAAAATATAATTTTAAAGATGTATTTTAATATTTAT